AAAAAGGTTTTCGACAATCAATCTCGTTTGTTAACATTGTTATCATTGTTAACATTGGCAACAATTGCAATTTAAAGGTTATATATCTTTTTTATTATTGTTGTCGTTTAAAGTAATAGATATGGGTACAATATAATACATATTTTAATCATCATGCTATAATATTAATGTTTCTTGTTTTCGTAGTTATTTATTTCGTAAATGTTTCGTAATGCTCTAATGCATTTTATAATACTAATGATTTTTATACATCCTGACCATTAGCCTTGCCACCCGAGAATCTTTCTTATTATTTGCTTTTGATTGCACCGAAATTTACTTGTATTATCTGTGTATTTTATTTGTGTCATCCAGCTATAGACAACTTTGCCAACCGCCGACATTACATACATTTGAAAAACAAAACGAATCAATCTGTTGGCGGTTCTTCTGGCTATATAGCTGGCCCATTGCCACTTCAGCTTACTGATCCATTGGACAAATTGTACAGAAAACCGAAGAGTACTATTGTACTTTGCCACTTTGACTTGCATACGGGGCCTATGATAAACTCTTTGATTCTGTCAAAATTTAGGCGGTGCCATAATCCTATCAGCGGAGTCAAATTTACTCAGTTTATCGAAGTGCTGAAGTGTTTGTAGAGCCCCGCTGGCTACGATCGCTTTTCGTGTCAAGAACACAACCTATCTAGAGATGTGATTTCGATGAAGTTATATCCTGGAAACTCTTAAACGCTAAATTGAAATACGTTATCATGCTACCGGACTAAAAAGGATACGGTATCAACACCACAAGCAAGTAGGTTACTTGCCTTCGATTTGCCAACAATATAGTCATTACAATCGGTGAAGGACCCCAACACTATGGTCAATGTCCTCTATAGTGTCTCCCAACAAATTGATTTTAATATAGGCGGATTATTTGTCCCAAGTAAACATGCTCGTCAACAACTTCGAGCTTAGTGCTACCAACAGCCTTCGGTATAGGTGTGACATGGACGTTACACATCTTTGTTTTGTCCATGATTATTTAGAGAGCTATCCGTTCGGAGGCTCTATTGAGGTCATGAAGCATAACGCTTATGTCCTCTAGCGATTCTGCCTTAAATGGAGTGACGACCTGGTAAGACATTCAGGAAGTCGATGGATGCGGTGGACTTGTGGAGGACTGTAATGATGATGATAATGATGATTGCTTACAAAGAAGGACAAGCGCCGTGAACTTATTTGATTTAAAAGATCTCAACTACGGATATGAGCGATTACAAAATATATGTAAAGGTATGGTCTCCGCCGGTTAAATTAATATTTTTAAAGAGAATAAAATAATAGAAGTAATTATTAGTATATGCGTGTAATTATTAGTATTAATTACGCATAATGGTAATGCATGTAAAAAGACGAGGTTTTGACGAAAGACATAATTATGGCGAAAAACCACTCTAGTTAGATCCTCCAAGAACATCATTCCAGTCAAAATCTGTATCAATGTTATTATAAGATACGGTAATGTTCAAACATATTTTTAATGACTTTCCAAGTTCACTGCTGAATGCTGGCTTTTTAACAAATGACGCCAGTTAGTTCGTTTGCATAAATTAAAATATGCATCACGCTGAGCGTACAGGATTTTTTTTAATTTACCCGTATAGTTCACTGCTGGACATGAAGAATTTCCCTAAAGGAAGTTTTACCGTGATCAGCAAACTCGTCAGTAGGACAAGTAATGTATGTTCTTGCTATATACGAGATGTCCAATACTGCTACCGATTGGAGGCCATGAGATTTTCTTGACAATGTGTTTATTGGGTATGTAATGATGGGTATAATGAATAGGGCATGGAATTGCGAGGTAGGTTGTAATCTCGGAAAACAGACTTGGACATTTAACGGCCATATTAAGTATATTACTTCCCCATCGAACCTCCTGATTCTTAAAAGGTCATCTGTTAATTAATTAAATTTATAGTTTATAATTATCATTACTTTTATTTAAAAACTTAAACTAATTTATTCTGCAAACTGAATATCGATTATATTTAAAAATTGAGAGGCCGGGTAAGTTCAATTTCTTTTTGTAGTAACAAGTGGGATGCGGGAAGTAAAGATTGTGTAAGAACCTCCGAAGGAGACGGAGTTATAGCCGAAATAAGAATTTTAATTTTTTTGGTTTTTGGCCATTTTGACCCCCTATTAGTAATGAGAACTTTTCGTTGAATTCGTTGTCTTCCGTCGTCTTCCGTTGAATAGGGGCATTCAACCATGACCCCCATGACATCCTCTACATGATGGGCTATTCATACGGACTAGGCCTAAAGTTCGAGTCACCCCCCCAACTTATTTCTAGTCTTTACTTCCAATAACAAAACTTGTTGCGTTATTTTGATCGTCATCAGCTTGTGCAGTTTCATTAGCCATAGCAGAAAGGCACACGTCTTCATTCTTATTATCTTTTCTGTTTACGTTGGATGATAACCAGAAATGCAATCTCTGGACAAACGTTAAGAACGTCTGTCGAGAGGTCAAGATTCATAATCAGGAAAATCGTGCGAAATCTCGGTATACCTGAATTGAATGCTTAAGTATGAACGAAATTTAATTAAGGAGCGTACCTACGTAATTGCATGAGGGTGTTGGTCAATACAAGGTCTTTACGTTAAGTTATGGTTAATACTCGTAAGTGAAATAAATTTCCATGTGTACAATGTAACGAATCCTGTTTCGAAGGCTTGCAGTAACGGGTCTGCGAGCAATGGTGTAAATAAATAAAGTGACCCGGAGGACATCGACCCGAACGGATCAAATTGTATTCAACTTGCATTAGAGTACGATTTCATGTCCTGTGCATTGGTCCATGTACAGCGTTGAAATGATTTATTGAATCGCATTAATTTTTGCAAGATCAGACGATTTAAAATTATTAACATAATAATCTACATCGAAAATCCGACTTGCTTAGAATATTTAAAATTAATAAATAAGTACTAACTGAAACATTTTTTTTAAATATTTTTCTTTTAGTATTTGTTTTATATAAGTTATTTTGAAATTAAATTAAAAATAAATATAGCAATTAACTAAACACTTGTTCAATATATTTATTTGTTGCTATTGCAAGTGTTTTATTATTCATAGACGTACTTTGTTGTTCAAACACAAAACTTTCTAGATATTAAAACAATTGCAGCGTAGCAACAAAAGTTACGTCGGTTTAACATGGAATAGTGCAAGGGGACAACGGCCTTCGCACCTGGGAGGTGCAATAGTACGACCGCTACCGGCTGGAGCGGTTGCTATTTTTACTCCTTCCACTTTATCTTATTTACTATTCTGGTTCGCGACTCATTGAATTGTGGTTATTATGTGCAAGTTGGATACGTGCCAGCGGCTCACGCTCGACACACCGATAGCGAAATATTTGGAGTATTATGTTGCGATGATGATAATTTCAGAGAAAAACTTAATCTCAATTTCTATCACTACAATGTTCATATTTTTTTTAATTTGCAATAAGCTACTTATAAATTTCAGAAGCAGCTTGATAAAAAAAGTTTGACAGTTAAAATTATAAATATTGTCGGGGTCATTTAAGTACGACATGGACAAGCGACTAAGCGAACAACTTGAGAAGAGATCACGTCAAGCCGGCAACAAGTCGCGAGGTGGCTATGAGCAAACCGGTCGCAGGCGCCGCCTGTCGGGCCTGGAGATCGCTGTGGATTATCGCCTTGTAAACAAAATTACATTCACTTCGTTCCATTTAAGAGTAAGAAAATTTATGTGCAAATTTGAACTGAAATCTCCAATAGATAATTGTTATGTCATGAAGCTAGAACAACCGACATTCAATGTAAATGTTTTTATATAACCTTAAGGTAAAGAAAGAAAGTTATCCTGCATGGCCAGTCTAATAAAAATCATATCTAAACCTTGAGAACAGTTCGTGCAAACGAACTTCAAAGGGTAAAAAAAATACCAAACGAAACGCCAAATATAATGAAATCGGCTAAGTAGGCCATCAAATAATTTCGCAAGCGTATTGAGTGCCACAAACTGGTACGTTCGAGGCAAGTCAAGGCCCGTACGCGACCGACTGCTTCGCCTCAAGCCACGGAGCTGCATTGTTTGTTAATTTAATTCTGTTCGGCTAGAACACTTTTTCATCACCATATCATCTTTTTCTTCATCAGCCCGTACAAGTCCATAACGGGACATAGGTCTATATTGTTGTACAAACGGTTTGCCTTAACCGTAACGCTTGGGGGCGGTTTGACTATCTCTATCGCAATACCACAGACATCTTAACGCCATTTCCCGTCGTCGTTCTGGATGTTTTACGCCTGGCGTAAAAATATGGCTATAACGTCATCTATCGGAAGCCATATGATATTTTTGTCTTATCAAATACCTAGTCGCTTCTGACGACACAATATCAGTGCAAAATAATTTGAACACGATGTAATTTTTTATTTAAAGTTCAGTTAATGAATTAAAGGCGATAAAAAGGCCACTACTGTGCAATTTCTAAGACTATCAATAAAAATGAAATTGTTGAACTTAGGTGTAGAGTTAACTTAGCTTCATTACTTTGTACGAATGTAAAGAATTTGTAGACGAAACAGAGTCGTTAACTTCTCCTTTTCAATATGTATAGTGTTGCACCATTGGCTATTGCGATTATGACTTGAGTGAATACCAAAATATCTAAAATTACCAGATGCAAAAACAAACATGTATTAAATATTAAACATCATCCTTTCTTAACATCTTGACAGCGATAGTCGAATTGGGTAACCTTAAAGTTGTGTACGTGTCTAAAGCATATACAATAAGTGATTATTACATTTATATCAAAAATTGCTTGTTATAACATCATAAATTACACAAACATAGATAACATTAAATAATATGATAAACACTTTATTTTGGAAAGTAATTTTATTTTTACCAAATGCAGTTTATTATATTTTTAATGAGTTATGCAACAATGAAGATACTCACCCCTTCATTTCCGGGTAGGAACTGTATTTTAGGTTTTGCCAATTTGTCCTGAAAAGAGAGAAAATTACATCATGTTAACTTCGACTTATAATAGTTAGTATGAATTAAAAGTTAATACTTCCATTGGTTGATTGATTCTCATGTTATATTAATGGTTAAACATATCTTTTAAATATTTTCATTGGACTAATACAGTTAGGTATAAGTATTTATTTGAAATAATTTCTTTTGATTTATGGGTTAAAGATTAAAGAAAAAATAAGTTAATACGATAAATTTTATCAAGAAAACCTTGAATATCGGGATTTAGTTTTAGATACATAGCAATTTTTGGATAAAGTACGAAATATTAATAATTTTCTACCATTATTCATTACAGCCTACAAATGTCTACAAGTGAACGTAGGTCTCCCGTCAAAGATTGTCTCATATTTTGCCATAAATGCCACGCTAAGCAGGCGGGTCGGTAAAAACAGTTTTTTTATAATTTTGAGTTGTTATAAGAAATATGCTATTGCCTCCTCCTGTTACGTAATTACGTTACGTTACGTTCATAACGTAGTGAATATTCTGATACCGTTACTACACGTTTAAATAATTATCTTATGCAATACAAATATAAAGAAAATATTTGCTTGTATATTTATCAGTAATAATTAGTCAGTGTGTTTTAGCTTGTGACCTGATTGTAATTACGGGTAACATTCTCTAAGCCAAATTTGAACACAGACTTCAGAGGCTATAAGAAATTATCAACTACCTTCTTATATTTTAAGCGGTAGAGCCATGCTGCAGCTATATTATGGTTGTAGCACGAATGGGTCGACTCGAACGGGGAAGGACCACGCTCTCACAGAATACCAATAGCATCTTAATGCTGCTGTTTCGTATGGCGAGTGTAGAGACCCCTGTTACTGGCATCGAGGCATTCCATATTACAGTAACCACTTCCCATCAGGTGGACTGCGTGCTCGTTTGTCATCCTTATTCTACATTAAAAAAAAATCTTGTTCCATCTCACATCGGACTCTGATATTTCGATGTAAGCTGCGATAAGATCGGTAGAATTCGTTGCGGTAACAGGTACTGTATGCGGATTTAAATGTGTGAAATTTGTTACACACAAATGTTCTGGTTTAAATAATATAGTTTTCACATTACGTTGAACTTGCTTACTATAAAAATAATTCGTTGCTGGTCAAAAGAAAATAGCTTTTTTCCATGAACACGTTTAACTCAACTGATCAACTGATTGCAGTATGTAATGCAAGACAAGATTATTTGAAATAAATGATTGAATGATCACTTGGCGGACTCGTGGCGGTCCATAAAGTAATTCATTACCAACCAGCCAACCACATTACTTATCCATTGGGGTGTCGTAAGAGACTCGTTAGAGAAATGTTTGGAAGATCTTGTAGGAGCAGATAGATGTCAGTTTAACCATCTCTTATTTATGAAGAACTATCAAGTACAACATACCAGATCCCTACCATGAGAGCGGATTATCTTCAGCAGTGAATAATTTACGGGCACACGAGGATGGATTTTTTGTTAGTCACATGTTTATTAGACTATCAAAGATGTCATAAGCATTTTGCGTTAAAGTTTAAAGTTGAGCTTGAGTAATAAGATAATTATGATGGTAATTAAAGTTGTTACATACAGTTATTATAATATATTATATCATTTAAGTTAAAGTTTCTAAGGAATTACGTAAAAATAAACTTTAAACCAATATATATATATATATTATTTATATTGGTATATATACGTCTTACAGCTGGGCACAAATTATCTCTCATTTCTGACGATAAGGAAGTAAAAGCTACAAATATTGTTGTTTTCAATCGACTTCAAAAAAGGCGAAGGTTCTCAATTCTACTTTATTTTTCTATGTGGGTTACTTCAGAAATTTTTCTATGGGAACAGATTTTCATGATTCTTTTTATATTTGAAAGCTGGTGCTTCTCATTTGGTCCCATATAAATTTGATCAAGATCTGACCAGTAGTTTATGAGTTATCCTTAATAATGCGTATTTAATCTACTTTAACTACGTTGATAATGTTCTCATTTTATTTATATTGAAGTCGATTGTACAAAACGTTTTATTTTACCACTTGTTATTAATCAACTTTGGTAAATATTTTGTTTTTTTTCTTAGCTTATTGCTGCTGAACATAGGACTAGTCCATAGATTGCCTATTTCCCATGTTAGTCCCCCAATGTCCCCCATATTTCTCATAGTTACCACGCGTGGCAGGCAGGTTGGAAATTAGGTCTATTTATATCAATTCCATGATTTCAAATTTCATTTAACTCACTTCACACCTGTAACATACCTGCATCAGTTAAATAATAACTACTACTAAATGAGTTCATTAAAATATGAATCATAATCTTAACAATTCTGTTAATTTTTCCTTTATACAAGGCCAGTTCTGCTGATGAGGGTAGAGGAAAACTGTAAAACCCGTTGTGTGACGTATCCATATCTAATACTGAGACAAATTAAACATGTATAAATTAAAAACCTACTGTGAGCATAATTACTGCTTACAGTATGTTTTAATCTTGTTCAAGTATACAAAATTGAAATATTATACAGCTAATAAAAATGTGAAGTCTATTTTAAACGTGAAGTCAAACTAGTTGGTCAACAAGTAGAGTTCGCCACAATAAGCAAGTGTCGGCAAGTTGAGGCATTGCACAACCAGGCGATAGTCGGACGCGAGAAGCATAACTAGGCTGGGCGGCGCGGCGGCGGTGGCGGTGATGTAAACTTAAAAATTGCTTTAGTTACTTACTTAACAGGCGGTACGATGTGAAATTTAAAGAGTTGCATCGACGTCTAGAAACGAACAGGGAGAGGGGACCCGGAACTAGTATTTTATGCGTCTCAATATAATAATGGCCCTAGGATATATTCTTCGGTTGTAATACAATGTGCAACACATTAAGATCGAGTATATCCAATAAGATGTAATACCTATACTTATTTCAAACAAATAAATAAAAAGATTTTATCACCAACTTGTTATTAAATTTTGTAACATTGCAAATATCAAACTAGTTTAAAAAGCAAGGTCGGCAAGGATAATTGATTCTAATGTTATAGTTTTATGTGTAGAAATTAAAAAGATGAAGTGAAAAACAAATAGATAACAATACATTTTACCAGGAATGGAAAAAAATCATGAGTTTTTTTGATTTTTTTATATATTTTGAAATTCACAAGTTGAGCACTTTTTGACATAAGTAGTAGGCTTTTTATGAATACATATGTGTGAGACTGATTAAGATTAAAATAATTAATACTGTATAATTAAAGTTCAATTCTTAAGTGTGAATTTCTAAAATAAAATTTTGGTTTAGTTTACTAATTGTATGAGACTGACAGACCTCATCGCTACAGTCTTGATTTTTCAAAGTTTATGAGACTATTGTAGTAGAATAATAAGAATAACATAAAACAATAAAAGATTTTACTAATTTTAAGCCAGTTTTATTTAATTTTCTGCCTATTACATTAATTTATACATGGTGATTTAAATCAATGATTTTTTTAATCAAAATCATGTAATTTAAATGGTGATTTAAATAATGATTTAAATCGGTCTGATTTAGCCAAACCTGTATATACCTATATACATAATTTCAATTCATTCGTTTATTCATTACAACTCTGCTGAACATAGATTTTCTCAAAAGGGGGATTTCGCCACAGTTGCCACGATTGGCAGGCGGGTTGTCAACCGTAATTCATTATTTTTAAGTTGTTATAAAATTAGAAAGACGCTGATGGTTTGTTTCTCAGTCGTCCCTTACGATACCCAATGGGCGATAAAGGGTAGTGTATATAGTTAGATCATAAGGATATGTAATCTTTTTTCTTGTCCTGACATTAAAGTTAAAATATTGTTTACTAATTTTACCAAAAATTATACTTAAAACATGTAAGTAAGGCAAAAATTAATAAATTAGTTAAATATATTATTTTCAAAATTCTTACGGTTCATTATAACATGTATGCATATTTCTATGATAATTTTAATAAATGCTGATTAATCACGTGCTCGGCGGAGAAGGAAAACATCGTGAGGCAACCTGCATACCTGAGGAACAAAAATATTTCGAAGGCACGATATTAAGTCCACGAACATGCAGTGGGGAAGCGCGGCGGACAAATAGCTCTAAAATCATCTCAGAAATTAGAGGTCTGTGCCTAGCAGTGGGACGTATAAAGGATGTAAGTTATATATAAAAACCAATATAATAATAATAAACCAATTAAAATATTAATAAGCCACAATGAGGTATGACCATTTTTTGACAAAGTTATTACTAAGTCTCATCGTTATTATTATGAAAAACACATACTATAATATGATATTAACTTGATATGACAAGAGAAAATAACTACAATTACACGACGCGAACGCATTCGAGGTATCATTTAGTTTTTATTACTTAATTTTTTTTACAGAAGGCAGAAATTTATAACGCTCAAGTGTTGGCGCAAACACGCTAAATGTATAATGTAATGGAAATGAAACATTTGCGAAGGGTTCGTAAGTAAAAAGAAGATAAGACAAAAAAGCCAGAAATCATATTGAATGCAGATTTTTAATTTTATCATTTAAACTTCATATGAATAAAATTGAAGAGTCTGTCTTTAATACTGATATAACCGGCTTCTATTAAGCTTAGGGGATTATTTTCGTGCTATTACGACAACATTACTAAATTTTTTGTCTGGATGATGAATTGATGAAACTTCATAAACAGATAGAGAGCAGTGCCAGACGTGAGGTAGGCTATATTTTATCCGTATTTTTTCAAATTCAATATTTGAACAATCAAAAAAACTGATAAAATAATGGTTCATGATGATTAACTCATAAAACTAGGAGATATAAAAAAAATCGAACCAAACACTTTATTTTTTATCTCTACAATTTTTTAATGCAAAATCGATTTTAAGACTACTTCAACAACATTTTACAACCAAACTATGTCGCCGCTTTTTGTTCAGACAAAATGATA